TAACATCTTGCCACCACAGTGCCCCAAATGAAGGCCCGTGTCCAAGCCTGTGAACCCCAGTGCAGTGACACTGCCTGCACACCCGATAGCCCTGCTACTGGGTGCAATTGCGATCGCACATTTGGCTCAAAATAAATTTCAGACGTGTCTTCGGGCTCGAGTGCTTCTGAATAAAGTGCAATTGCGAGCCATGTTCCGTCATAAGGTTTTGTTTTTTCTCCCTTGCAATTGTCACTGGGTCCGCTGAGTGGGTTTACATCCTTGTGGACATGCGGCGTTCATGGAGTACAGGAAGGAGCATTCTTCTCCTGCTGTGAACCCTTGCTGAGCCCTCCCTGGCTGCAAGGTCAGCTGCTTTGTTTTTGAGTTTAGTGAATAATACGTATTTTCATTCGTGCCGCTCCTATTGCTAAATTTAACACGAAAATAAATAACACTCCGTGAAATATTTTTCATGCTCAGACTCAAGACTTTATTTACACTGGGGGTATCCGATGAGCTCTTTTTACACACATGTCCAGTAGGGGCGGGTCAGAACGTTACAACAACAAACAATACATAGGGGTCCATAGAGTTACATAGAGACTCGAAGACCACAGGCCAATGCCGTGATGGCAGTTACAGGGCATTGCAGGCTGAAGGGAATGTGCAAACCTAACCACAGCAAAACCAACATCTTATTTACACGAAACCCATGCCAGAACCTACTGCAAACAGGATAAACAATGAATAGCGCTTAAAAAACAATCAAAAGTATCAAAAATCCTGTCACATACGTATATAAATAAACCGTATATACAGCCTCATTTATATCAAGCACGTTTTGAGTTGGCAAAGTTTTGATTGACCCCACCTATAATACTAATGTGGAGCCTCAGTTATGTATTTTTGGCAGGAAAAAAACTATGAAAAATACAAAACATCCAAACTAAACATTTTTTTTATTTTACCAGGTAAGGCCCAGTCAGCCATATAGCTCTTTTTTCAGAAGCGACCTGGCCACAAATGATAGCTCAGCAAAGCGGCTTATCATGTGGAAATGTTTTGCAGCCAAATACTCTAAACGCGTGATGTTGATTATAAATGTGGAGGGAAAAACCGGTGGTCCCGGAGAAAAATCCACACGATCACAGGGAGAGAGGACATGCAAACTCCAAATATACAGGCGCTGGGGGTCGGGATTGAACCCACGACGTCCTGTATGCCTGGCGAGGTAGATAACATCTCGCCACCGTGGCATCCCACTGCCATGTGCCGAATGTTGCCCCGATTATCTGCACCTTCTACGGTATGTCACGAGCACAGTTGTGTGCCAGTTGTACGGTGCCTGAAAATACCATTAAGGGAATAGCCGTGGCTGCCCATCCTGTACAGTGTTCACATTAAAGACTGAGCTGCCTTGTTCCGTTAGCAGTAGAGTAGTTTCAGAAATCTCCGTGTGATAACGTCAGGTCCGGTGCGGGGAGGGGCGTGCGTTTAGAATTACCAAGGCCGAGGTAACAGTTTCAGCTTGTAAAGCTGCCGCACAGTATTCGCTCACTCCCAGAAAGAGAGAACGGCTCAGAGGCGCGAGGAAAAACCCGCAGACGATCGGGAAAGGCAGCGAGGCGGTTATCCAGTGCCGAATTTCGCCCGCTCGCAAGCTCTGCAGTCCTATACATAATGAGGTGTTATCGGCCAATTCATGAGCGTTCACACGTGGGAAGAAACCGGATCACCCGGAGCAAGCCTTGCGCGTGCGAGGGGGCAACGCTCTATCCCCGTACAGATGGAACAGGTGGGGTCCACATTCTCCTTGGTGAGCCAGGTTTATGGCTCCTTGATGGACACAGGAAGGGAGTTTCGCAACACGTGTGCGGTGATCCACCTACCCTCGTTGCCTCCACACAGCGCTGGATTACAGACATCCGCGTGCGTAGTCACCACAGCCAGGCTAATACCGCTGTTGAATGTGTTTTTTTAATCATCTGTTAGTCAGAACGCTACGCACCGCTTGATGTTGCATCTCCCTTAGGTTATAGGATGAATGGCGAAGCATTGAACCGCACTAATTTCAGTCCTCTTAGCGTCAGTTGTGCTTAATGTCATGAATTTGCGGTGTTAACAGCTGGATATAAGGTGAGATTCATTCTGGTTCATGAGCCTTTGGTGCCACGTCAAAGCGTACTTGTTCTATTACATTTAAGTGTATTATACCGTGGGGCATTGATTTATTGGTATCTTTTGTGTGTGAAGGAAATAGCGCCATAATTTGCCCTTAGCGTTGTATTGTGTGTGGCTTTTAGGGTTTGCATGAAGATTAATGGGGAAAGTAATAACAATGTCAGATGCACTCATGATTGAGTCATTACACCGACCAATTTAATAATGCAAACGAGCTAGAGGCAGGGAAATTATTTGAAGAATTTAACAAAGAATGCTGTAGAGAGGGGACTAAAGATAAATACGAGCAAAGCAAACGTCGCTTGCGAGAATTTCACTACATGAAAGGACATTATTGTGAAGAGGGACACAACTGGAAACCACTGCAGAGTATGTACCGTGCATGTACGTAGGGACATTATTGACGGCGTGCCGAGATCAGAGCGATGCGATACAGATGCGAGCGAGGGCAATGGGATGGAGTGATTTTTCAAAACAAAAAATGTCATTGAAAAAAAAAGCCAACTTACCAATGTGCCTCGTAAATTAAAATAAGTACAAATGACCTGCAATGGCACATGATTGGAACCGTGGATGGGAGAGGGGAGAGATAGGGGAGGGGGCTGTCGTGTGGAGGAGCTTGAAGACTGTGAAAGCAGTGTTCGTCATTGAGGGGGTGGGGGGGGGCACTGTCACCGATAAGACATCATCAGATTGAGGGCCGCCACACATTTGAAACCATTGGGGGTTTGACAACAGCACGATGATGATGATGGGGGTGTTTTCACAATTTGTGTATTGCACTGGTCAACAAAAAAAAATTCTGGCCTGGACTTTTGCAGCTGTTTTAGACTAATTTCAGGGTGCTGATTCCAAATCTGATCTCAGATTTGCTCTATCACGTCTCATTCTTATGCTATCGGCATACCCCATTTTCATTGATTTTACCCGAAATTAACTCTGTCACTTATGATTGCAAGTTGTTGCGAGTCAGTGACTGCTTTAGTGTTAAAATATGGTGCTGTATTTTAGGATAGTGTGTTTTATAATATCATTTTATGTAGATATCCACATTTATTTAATATTTTTCTTCTGCAGTTTTGATTGAAAATGCAATATTTGATATCTCAAAAACCTGATGTGATAGACAAAAACTGATGCCAGATTTGGAATCAGCACCCCAAAATTACCTTAACACAGTTGGAATACCTTATGCCAGAAAAAGTGTGTTGACCAGTGTTATAAAACCGTTGGAATACCTTATGCCAGAAAAAGTGTGTTGACCAGTGTTGTCGGGTGCCGCACTCAAGGCCATCAGAGGGCCGCTAGTGGCCTCGTGGGCCTTGCGATGAAGAACGCCGCTGTGAAGTGTGATCTAGACATTCACTCGCGATTGGATTGAGAGCGAGTGGAGGGTTTTGGATTTCCTAGATGTTTTTATTGGGACTATCACGGGATGCATAATATACACCTACATTGCATTAACTTGTCATCTACTTGTGGTATGGCTGTTCGTGTGGAATGTATATGTTTTTATTTAATTTGTATTTCATACAGACAATCTGCAAATTTGAATCAAAATTGTAAATCCTATTGCGATTTCTATGTGCGGGATAATTACGCCAAAATGTTAACATCAGGTATGGGAAAGTATTCATGGGTTTTATGTTCACTGAAACTATATCGAATCTACATGGCGACCATAATCTATTTATTCATATTTTTATTTGCCCATTCGTTTATGTATTTAATCCATAACTGCTTGATTTTGCCGAGACCGCCACAACGTGGGCGTGGAATATGTCCCCGACAAACGCCCGGTTGGACCTTATGACAGCCGCAGGCGAACGGACGGGGGGCTCTGCGCCACCCCAGAGAGCTAAGGCCCTCCTCGAAGGGACCGTGGCGCTTTCGGCCGCGGCACTCGTCCCCGGACGCTGCGGGCGGTGGGCTCTGCCCACCCCTAAAAGAGCCCGCGGCTGCCTCCCTGGGCTGCCCTTGCCAGAGAACACCACCCGGTTGCAGGGATCAATTAAGATGGATTAACGGGAGAGGTGGTCCAGGGGTTGGTCATGGGTCAGAGCACTGAGCTGCCACCGTTGAGATCCTAGTTAGAATCCGGGTTTCAGCCACCCGTCATTAAACCGGGTTCTCCGGTGTCCACCTACCTCTTCCCCTCTCATTTTACCCCCCGGCCCTCCGTGCACTCTCCGCTCGGGCAACTGAGGATTCATATCAAAGCCTCCAGTCAACCTTGGCTCGGAGGGGGAGGCTGCTCCTTCACCTGTGCTGCCCGATCGTCTGGAACTCACTTCCCCCGGCCGTGTGTGATATTGACTCCCTGGCCCTGTTCAAGTCCAGGCTCAAGACCTCACTCTCTTCACTGCCGTTGACCGACTGTTACAATATCTTTCTTAATTAAATTTCCTTTTCCCAGGAAGCCCACCTGCCGCACGTCTGTATAGCATCTTGAGATGTGGTTGGATTTAGAAACAGGACTGTAATAATCCAAAGTGAACTGTGTTATAAGTCTCGGAGCTGTGCACTCACTCATGCTGACGGATTCATTCACTCAGTCACCCACCCTTTCACCTACTCACCCACTTACCCTCTCGCTCACCCACTTATCCGCTTACTCACTCACGCACTCATTCGCTCATCCACTCACATGCCCACTCACAACTCACCTTCTCATCCACCCACTCAATAACTCACTCATTCACACACTCGCTCATCCACTCACTCACTCACACATTCACCATCTTACCTTCTCATCCCTACACTCAATAACTCGCTCACTCATCCACTCGCTCATTTATTCACTCGCCCTACCCACTCGCCTGCTCGTTTGCCCATAGGAGTGTTTGGCCAGCGGCTGGAGGAGACGGTGCGGAGCGAGACGGGCTCAGACGGGGTGACGGCGCCAGCCCCGCTGCTCGTCACTCAGTGCGTCAACTTCATCCGCTGCCAGGGCCTGGCCGAGGAGGGCCTCTTCCGTCTGCCGGGCCAGACGAACCTGGTGCGCGAGCTGCAAGAGGCCTTCGACTGCGGCGAACGCCCCATCTTTGACGGGTTCGTGTTTACACATTTTTTTGTCAACCCGCCGCTGCGGTGAGGATCTTCCCATGCTCCGTGTAGGTCTTGGGAGTTGTCTGACCAAAACAAACTATTTTTAATTTTACCAGTTAAGGCCTGCTGAGCTATAATATAGCTTTTTTTAGAAGCGACCTGGCCACAAATGATAGCTCAACAAAGTGGCTTATCACGTGGACATTTATAGCAGCCAAATACTCTAAACGAGTGATGTTGATTCTAAACATGGAGGGGAAAGACCGGAGGACCCGGAGAAAAATCCACGCGACCACGAGGAGAGAGACACGCAAACTCCGAATATACAGCAGGCGTCATGGTCGGAGTCGAACCCACGACCTCCTGCTGCATCCCAGGCGAGGGAGATAACACCTTGCCACCACAGTGCCCCAAATGAAGCCCCGTGTTCACTTCCAACAAGCCGCCCCCGCGGCGCCCGATTAACTTCTCCATGCTGGACAGTGAGGGTTGACGAAGGCAGGGAGCACAGATTTTGCGAGCTGAGTGCAGTATCACGGCGTATTTCGCTGCATTGCTGACCACTGACAATGCAGCGCTGCGGAAGTCTACGACACCTGTTTTGGTGTGGTGGTCACCCATCCAAGCGATATCCAGACTCAACCCAGACTCAACCCAGACACTGCGTGACTAAGTTTGGCATCGATCTTTGTAGTCCCGTTATTTTTCACGGAGACCGTAGCAAACCGACATGCTAAACAGAGCAAGAAGCAAAAGATCAACCCAAAACTGTTTAAAAAATATATTCTTTGGGAAAAATTAACATAAAAACAAATCCTCTAGGACAAAAAAACCCCCAAAAAGACTGCGTGATCTTAACATTCTTCAAGGTCTCAGCAGATGCATTTCATCTCCCATAACTGTCAAGCGACTTTTTTTGTTGTTGCCAAATTCTTACCTCTGGTCCAGAGTTCCTAACTCCAGTGCCTCATCACAGCTCCCCCGACAACGCGTCCAGGAGCAGCAACTTAGCGGGGGATCCTGGCCGCTCGCGCTCGGGTTTAAGTCGCTTGACCACACCGCGTGGGGATGTCGCACACCGCATGCCTGAATTGATGCCAGACCCAGCCTCCGCAGTGGTGGGTGGAGCGATTGGTTTCCTTCTCATAAACAAGCTGCAGTAGATACTTGCATGTTAAAACATCTGCGCTCCAAGCAGCAGTCTTCAGTTCGCGGCTGTTACAGGCATAAGAAATACTGCCGTGGCCTAACGGATAGGACACTGGACTTACAATCCAGATGTTCACCTCCTGGCGTGGCAGATGAAAAAATGGGAAAGTTTCTTAAATTCCCCCCCCGGCCTCCATCCACCCAGCAGTATAAATGTAACAAGGCAGATCGTATGAGCGTATTGGAGTACACGGCAGATAGCCTTGCACTTTGGGAATGGCAAGGACGCCGAATGCCCTTGTAATTTGCTTTTGATTTGGGCCTGTGCTCAGCAACCGTGATAAAAGGAACCTCCAGTAGACCCAAGAAAACGCAAATGTTTTCGTTTAATCCCAGCAGCACCCGTGTAGTAGTTACACCGCTGGCTGTGGACGCTGCTGAACGCGTTCAGGGCTCCTACTAATCCCCGTGTGGCTTGGCACGCTTACGACCTTGTAGCAACACAGGAAATAACTGCAGTCAATCGCCTTTCTTTTTGCTTGCCCCTTGCAGAGAACATCCCTGCTGGAATTTGCTCTCGCCAAGTAAAAACAATTAAAACAAGCCAGAGGGCAGGCGCGCGGAAATGTACAATAGACTTTATTTGAGTACGCTGGAACATACCTTTACTTCAACCCAAAAATAACCCAAAGACATCTCTGAAAAATAACACGACGCACTGTAGTACTATAATAATAATCATCATCATCACGATCATTGTCAATAACAAACATCGGCGTGTAACTGTCGACTCTTTAATAACGTCGTAAAACCGTAATCATCGTCATCGTCGTCGTCGTCATCATCATTCTCGCCCACCGTCTTTCGTTTCAACGTCAGTATCCTCGCATGCGTCGTTTTTTTCTCCTTCTTCTTCAACATCTTCACCATCTTTTTTCATTCATCGCCAGCGGGAACGATATTTGCGGCCTTTAAAGATCGCGCGCGCTCATTGGCTTGCGCGAGAGCGCTGACGGTGACAACGACGCGGAACGTTCGACAGTGAACAGCACCGGCTCTCGGCGCGTGCCACTCGCTCCGACGAGAGTCGCGACGCCAGCCGATGCTCAACCGCAGCACGCAGCATTTCTTATTTAATATATATAATAACGTCTTTTAATTTCGACAGAACACAACTCCCTTCAGTCCCCATAATACCGGCGAGAACATGCAACACGTTTGACGGATCTATTATCGGCGTGGCTAAAGCGCTCGAAAGCAGTGGACGGCACGGGCTTTGCTCGAATCGGCGAATAAGAGTGATGTGCGAGTGAGTGGTTCAAAGGATGATGGATTTGAGAGGCATGCAAGACCACGTCCTTTCTTCAAGGTCTTTCGTTTTGTCCTGAAAAGCAATCAACGGCACCGTATTATTTTATACGCATTGTAAAGCTGTGTGCATTGTCTGCTTTTTTTAGTGCCCATTTGTATGCGGAGTGCTGCAGTGATATGGCCCTGTGTTTTTTTTTGCAAATATTGTAAACCCTCAGTATTTCCTGAAGAATGCCAGCCAGCCAAAACATCGAGGTGTTTTTTTTATTTTTTACCAGGGACAGGACTTAAACAGACGCAGTTATATTTGTATCGACCTGCGTACCCAAGGCGTCGGATGCGCGCAGAAACGCGTGCGGACGAGCGATCGGTTGCTGATGGCCAGGGCCAAGCAAAGTTAGCCCTCGGGCAATGCATGTGTGAAGAGAGGGTGGCCGGTGCGGCAGAGTTTCGTTCACACAAAAAGCAATGAAAGCAATCGTGAGGACGACAAAAAGAAAAGCCCATGCTGCGGCTATAATGGGGAAAAACAATAAAACGAGAATTGTGACGGGGGTGGAGAGGGGGGCGGTCTCGTTGGCGAGGAGCTGACTTGGCAGTAAAAACCGCACCTCCTATTGGCAAGGTCGGTTACGTACGGCGCGAAAGAAGTTCCAACGTACGTACCCACATACAAAACGAACGGTTTCAGTCGCGGGGAGCAACGAAATTCCTTCTGCCTATTTCAGGGCAAAATTACGCAGTGAAATAAACAAGCGTTCGTTTTTTTGCTGTTGAGGCGCGAGAGAGCCGCCTGCAGCCACACGTGCGCTGTTGCGCTGTCAAGAGGTGTCTGGGTAATTTGGAGGGGGGGGGGCGGGAGTTGGGTGGCTTTGACACGTATTAAAGAGTGCTGAATCGGCACTGCCATTCTCTGGGTTTAAGCTTTTGTCTACCACTCGGGATTAAACCGGAGGGGGTTGCTTGTGAATATGGGGAGTCGTTTCTCCGCCCAGTTCTCGGACGATTGCATAAACATCTCATTTATATAAAAAAAGTTCTCCCATTGCACTTTCACTTGGCCATGGACTGCGCTTCTCTCCGGATGCAATGAAACGGGCCAAAGGAGAGAGCAGGGAAGCCCCCACCACCACCACCACCGTCTGGCGGGCGGATGGGCAATGAAGACACCGCTGGGATGAGGCATCATGACCCGGCCAAAGTATTGCGATGTCAGCTCACGTGATCTGTCAAAGCCACGTTGCATTCGTAAATATTCTTAGGTTTTTTCGGTAAAGTCACGTAGGTAAAAAATATAAATGAATAAAAGTAAATTTGGATTTGAACCTACGTGACTTTACCGAAAAAAACCTAAGAATATGAATAATTGCAGTCACGAAAGCTTCAAATCTAGAATCGTTGTAAATAGTAATAATAATTCACAGGCCTTGTCAATTCACTGCTAGATGAAGGACTGCCCATGCCAGTCGTCAGGGTTGTTTGACCGTACTTCACCATGCTGGTTAAGGGGAGAAGTTTATAATGGTTGTTGAGCTAAGGGCATCTGGTAACCAACCCGGCAGCATTTTGTTTCACAAGGCTGGCTCTGCTGATGAGACCCAGAAGATTGAAACCGGTCCACAGTTTGCTTGGTTAAACAAATGCTGCTTGGTGATATTGGTTCTGGAAAGCGAATAGTCCGGTGGACCAAAACACATTTTATTTACGTGTGGAGACACTGAGAAAAGTTCTGCCTCAATACAAAAAGCATTTCCGCGTACACAATGTTGGCTCTTTCAGCTACAAAGCCTTCCCCGCAGCATTGCCCCACAGTTCAGCAAATAACGTTGAGACCTTCTCAATGCACTGCCAGCCGAAGGCCTTCCCACCACGTCATCAGACAACCCCCACGTGACCGCAGTACACGACAATAACAATAAATTTGGGTTTATTTTTCCGTTCTGAATCCGAAGGCCCCCTTCCACGTCGCAGGGCCAAAGCCGAGCGCCCACGTGCCCGCGGTGTTTGTTGTGTCTCCCGAGCGCGTGTGTGTCATGTGTGTGTCACGCGCGTGCCGCAAGCGTTGTCACGTGTGTGTGTCGTGTGTGTGTCGCGCGCGTGCCGCAAGCGTTGTCACACGTGTGTGTGTGTCGCGCGCGTGCCGCAAGCGTTGTCACACGTGTGCGTGTGTGTGTCGCGAGCGTGTCGCGAGCGTTGTCACGTGTGTGTGTCGCGCGCGTGCCGCAAGCGTTGTCACACGTGTGCGTGTGTGTGTCGCGAGCGTGTCGCGAGCGTTGTCACGTGTGTGTGTCGCGCGCGTGCCGCAAGCGTTGTCACACGTGTGTGTGCGTGTGCGTGTCGCGCGCGTGCCGCAAGCGTCGTCACACGCGTGTGCGTGTCGCGAGCGTGTCGCGAGCATGTCGTGATCGTGTGTCGCGAGCGCTGTAAATTTTTTTTACCGGGCGTGCGGCTCCGCAGGGACACGGACGTCCACACGGTGGCCTCCCTCGTGAAGCTCTACCTGCGCGAGCTGCCCGAGCCCGTGGTGCCGTTCTCCCTGTACAGCGAGTTCCTCTCTTGTGCTTCTCTCCTGGCCAAGAACCAGAGCGAGGTTAGTGGCACCACTGTCGAGCGCAAACAAGCGAACACCGACGTCCTACATTTGTTTTTCTCCTGCTCGTAGATTCTCTTTCTTCACTCTCATTTTCCGACGTGCGGCTGAACTTTTATTCAAATTAACACGCGAGGGGAGGTCTAAGAAGGTGGGGGGTGGGGGGGGTTATCATATGAGAGGGCTAGGACCGTCCCAGAGCACTCACATTTGATTTAAGAAATAAAGCCGTCAAACTGGCGAGTAAATGTTCCCCTCCCCGAATATTTGTTGTGCCATGAACGAATATTTGTTGTGCCATGAACGAATATTTGTTGTGCCATGAACGAATATTTGTTGTGCCATGAACGAATATTTGTTGTGCCATGAACGAATATTTGTTGTGCCATGAACGAATATTTGTTGTGCCATGAACGAATATTTGTTGTGCCATGAACGAATATTTGTTGTGCCATGAACGAATATTTGTTGTGCCATGAACGAATATTTGTTGTGCCATGAACGAATATTTGTTGTGCCATGAACGAATATTTGTTGTGCCATGAACGAATATTTGTTGTGCCATGAACGAATATTTCTTGTGCCATGAACGAATATTTGTTGTGCCATGAACGAATATTTGTTGTGCTATGAACGAATATTTGTTGTGCCATGAACGAATATTTGTTGTGCCATGAACGAATATTTGTTCCCCACTAGGTAGTCGGCAATAGTTGGACGTGTTGCTTCTCCTTTCGAATATTGGTTCCTGCTTGGTTTTAATAGCAATGCAATCTTTGCATGCGAGTCTGTGTCCACGTATAGACTAAAACCTGATATGTAAGATCATTTTCTCGCCCTTTTTGTGAAACAGTGGCTCGATTTTCGTTTTAGTATAGTATTAATCTTTTTGGTTCCAACTTTGTCCTGACCCAATGTGGTCCCTGACCCAATGTGGTTGCATGTTGGTTCTTGTGGAAACAAATATTCTGAGGAATCAATATTCATTTACAACAACATTGCTGAGATCCTGAATTTTAGTTTTTATCCTGATAGCCGCCCATAGTTAAACTTGGAGTCCTCAATGCGGTCATCAATGACTGCATACAAAGTCAAAATCGATGTTGGTTTCCACTTCATTTGGCAACATTTCAGCTCTCAGAATTATAAAATAATTGAAACTTGATTTGAAGCGTTCGTGACTGCAGGAATTACTCTTTGTTTCTTTTGGTAAAGTCACGTAGAAAGAAAATTTATTAAATAATAGAGTACGACGTTTCGATTGCAACACAAGCAACCGTCATCAGGTAGAACTAAATTTGAGAGAGTCAGAACACAGACACGGAGACACACAGACAGACACACAAGCAGAGAGAGTCACACAGAGACACAGAGAGAGAGATAACACACAGACACACAGAGAGAGACACACAACATAGACACACAGAGAGAGACGCACAGAGAGAGCCAACACAGAGACACACAGAGAGAGACACACAACATACACACACAGACACACACAAGCAGAGAGAGACACAACACAGACAGACAGAGAGAGACAACACAGAGACACAGAGAGAGACACACAACATAGACACACAGACAGACACACAAGCAGAGAGAGACAACACAGACACACACAGAGAGAGACACAACATAGACACACAGACAAACACGCAGAGAGAGAGACAACACAGAGACACAGAGAGACACACAACATAGACACACACAGAGAGACACACAACATAGACACACTGTGTCTTTGTGTTGTCTCTCTCTGCTTGTGTGTCTGTGTGTGTGTCTCCGTGTCTGTGTTTTGTCTCTCTCTCAAATTTAGTTCTACCTGATGACGGCTGCTTGTGTTGCAATCGAAACGTCGTATTCTTATTATTTATTTAAATTCTTTCTACGTGACTTTACCGAAAGAAACAAAGAGTAAACAAATAATAGGTTTGACTGCTACATGACAAACATTTATCTGGGGCAGGATGGGTGGGAATGTGGATTTTATGTTCTAGTGGTGACAAATGAGGTCACGTGAAGCGGTCACAGAAGCAGTTCTGTGTTGTCACATTCCGTGGGCCATCCTCATTGCTCACGTGCCGTGATGCCGATATAACAACCGGGTTGAAGTTGGTGAAAAAGACAAAATGAACAAGTTTTCAGCAACATCAGAGATACGTTTTCATTGGCTGCATTTTGTTGCTTATTTTTTTACCATCGTTCTAACGCGAGTTCCCCTTTTAAATTGCCACCTCTATCCTGAACAACACAGTAGTCGGCATTATTGTATCAATGAAGAATCCGTAAAACGAAAATCGTAAAAAGTGGACATTCTGCTCGCAGAATGTTTAATCGGTGTTATCACTCCCAAGCACTAAATGCCATGTTTAAACAGACCATGGTTAAATATTGACCCGCGGGAGGAGTTTGTGTTTGGCTCCACGAGCGAAGAGCGATGATAGTTGGGGTGCTCCAGAGAATCCTTCACGTATGTGGGGGGGAGGGGAGCGGTGGCACAGTGGTTAGCGCACTACATTTCGCATGCCGTTTTCCTCTTTCGCGTACGGCGGGGTGGAAAAGCAATCGTTTTGAAACGCGTTATCGGTTCAACGCGAAGTTGTTTCAACCAATCCAATGAGGCTGCGTGACGCTGTGTGGATGGCAGCAACACGGCCAGGATGTGTTTTTCGATGGTTCGGACTTTCACCACCACCACCCAGCAGGAGTTCGTGACCCCTTCCCGTTCGTGGGACGGTGTAACGCGCGTCTTGACCACGTTCAGCGCGAGCCACAGTTGCCGTGCGAGAGAGGTCGAGGTCATAATGAGCCCGGCGCTTCCACACTCGGCTCCTCGACGATGAGATTATTTATTTATTTTGCGGCGTCGTTCTCTTCGGCTGCCAAGAACGGGGGCGCCGCATCCAGAAATTGGGGGGGGGGGGGGGGGAAGGATTCCTCCGGATTTCGGCCGCCGATCCGCTCTTTCAACTCTGGACGTGGGGCGATTCCTCCCCCTGGCGGTCGTTTGCTCTCACGGGCAACGCATCGCGAGCGAATGACACCGATTTTGCTGGTGGTCGGTCCCCCCCCCCCCCTTTCCTCCCGTCCACCGGAGTTGTGAAATTGCAGTCGTTGAGCCGCATCTGCACCGGTCGTACGGAAGAAGTATGATCTGTGTTTTTGATTTAGTGCGCTGATCTTAAAGGTGCATTGAAAAATGTTGACACTCCGACTGACGCTCCTGCTGTTGTGGAGTGACTCATGCAGGCCAGCTATGGCTGCAGAGTTTGGTGGTAGTACATGTTGTTCACGTCGTTTATTGTTAAAATTCGGTCACAGTTCCTATGATCACTGTTTCATTGCTTTTATGGCTTTATTTTGGTGATTTTTGAAAAGTTTTTCGGTTTGGCCATGTTTGTTTGTTGTAGTACAGAGTTAGACTGATGGCCTTAATCTAAGTTGTCTTGTGGTTGTTGTTGTTTGACTTGCATCCCACTGGGATTTTTGCAGTGTTGGTGTACGGTGCTTTTTCTGTAATATTTTGCTGTCTTTTTTTGGATTTTCTGTTTGCACATAGTCACTTTAAGATGTTTTCTTGTTCATGTTTTTTTGTTTGTTGCGGTTGCACCCGATTCAAGAGCCGAATGGCTCACAGGGCTATACCCAATACATTAAACTTGAAGAAGGGGAAGGGCGACACGCCGCCTACGATCGCATCTCGTCCGATGTCGGACACTGGGCAGGGTTGAAGCACCTCGGGTTATTGAAGCGGAATCTTTTGGACCGGCAGGATGCGATGAGCACTGACGCTCTTTTTTCCCCCCACATATGTCCAGTAGGGGCGGGTGAGAAAGTAACAACGAGCCGATATTGAACGTGAAGTCTGATTGGGAATACCAGGTCCAAATCAAAATTTGAATACCAGGTTGTTTAGAGGCTTGGGCTGCCAAGTGACCAATACGGGAATGGATTCTTAAATCCCTCTGTGCAGAGCTTTGATTGTTATCCCCTTGTCTGCATGTTTTTTTTTCCTTGGGTTATTCTGGTTTCCTGCCACGTGCAGACACGACTTCAAAGGTATTGACCGAAATATCTTAAAGCGGTGAGGCTTTTCCTTGACGAATACAGGACTTTATTAGTATGCTTAATGACAAGCCGCTATATTGATAACGAGTGGGAATTGTAATTGACGATCAAAATCTGCTGTTGATGAAAAGCGAAGAGTTGCCGCCGAGCATCGTTCGATTGCACACACAAAGCCACAATGCATGTTTGCACTGTGAATTCTGCTGAGAGTATCTGTAAAAATACGATAAATTTTTCCTCCTATAAAAATGGGTAATCTCTTTCACCCTTGAGCTTCGGCAAACACATTGTTACACGCTGACATCGAGTGTAATTACACTTTGTCAACAGATTTATTTTCTCTAAACAAACACCTCTTTGCTGCTAATAATTGTTATTGCAGAGAAGCTGTCACAATACGGTAAATGCGTTTCCCCGATTTTGTATTTATTAAAATGTAACTGCTAATTAATGGTGTCGGCGCAGAGCTGAAAGAGAAACGTATTAGAATTATGGAACGGGAAGCATTTTGAAAATGTCTTAAGTGATAAAGGCTGGGCTCTGAATGAACTAATTCCAATTATGCTATCGGTACTGTGTCATTAGACAAAGAATCCATTTAGAACACTCACAGATCAGCTATCACCCCTGGGGGCTAGGTAATACAGAATGGCTCATGGAAGAAGACATCACAGAACTACTACTTAGTTTCCTGCAAGTTACCTACTAGAATCCACCCTAGGTGAGGGGCAGCATTTTCTACACACCCGTGCTGTGTAGAACTATTCATCACGTGGCAGTGAAACATTGGAGAGTGGGCCGAGACCATCAACTCAAAGCACTCCAGAGCCCCTGGCTTAATCATGGCCAGCTTCTCGGATTAGAACGCAGCTCAGCGCTGTCAGCTCATTACTTTGGCCTCTTAGCCACCCGCCCACCGATTTTTATTTATTTATAGCATTTTAATACATGTTAACGTATTTAGATATTAAAGTCTCATTAATTGATTGTGCTGTTTAAAAGTCTTGCGTGTGTGTGTGGTGTGTTTCTGTCCGGTGGCAGGGAGTAAAGGAACTGACTCAACTTGCGAACAGCCTCCCACTCGCAAACTTCAACCTCCTCAAGTACATTTGCAGGTAAGTCTCTTCCCCACTAAAATGTAATTCGCCGTCATTAATTTAACAAGGCAGCCCAGTGAGGTGGATTACTTGTGGCCAGAGAGACGTGGAGATGTCAAGGGCCTCTTTTGGAGAAATTACCGAGTGGCAATTGAGGTTCATAAAAAAAGTTAAAAAGGATGGCTAAAAAACCCAAATTACTGATATTACATGGGGGGGGGGCAAGGGGGGGGGGGCCTTCATCCATTGGTGGATAGAGAATGGTTGATATATCGATCTATTTTTGTAGTAATCTAAGCAATGACTCGGTACAAACAAACAGGGCCAGTGGCAAGCACCACCAACACCACACGAACCAAAATGGTTCTTGTCGAGGAGCCGTTTTTCTCAAGTTCTTTGGCTTTCATCAGAGTAATTTTGCATTTGTTCATGTTGCCACAGCTTCTGAGGGAATAACTTTTGTGAATATTAAAGATGCCGTATTATGATGAAAACAGTTTTGCAGCACCTCTAAATCGTACAGTTCAAAATTTGCCTTTGAACGACACTACGGGTGGTCGAAATGCATTGGTGCTCTTTCTGTCAAAAAAAAAAGCTGAATCCCTTTTAGCTCAAAACAGAGTGCTCGCTAATACACCACAGTTCAAGAAGACAGGCTGGTGTTCTAACCAGTGTACCGACATATGACATCTTTGCCACCAGCTTCCTGTACGAGGTGCAGTCGCACGCCAGCATCAACAAGATGAGTATACAGAATCTGGCCACCGTCTTCGGACCAAACATCCTGAGGCCTAAAGTGGAGGACCCAGCGACCATCATGGAAGGTGTGGGCGGCTTTACCGGGTCGATCCACCACGATGGATCGGCAACGGGTGACATCGCGGCCTCATCTGCATTTGAATCGATCACTACTGGACATGTGTAAAAGAGCTTCATTAGGTTTTTTTCCGGTAAAGTAACGTAGGTAAAAAAGAAAATTAATAAAAGTAATAATATAAATAAAATAATAAATCACGACGTTTCGGAGGCAACACAAGTCTCCGTCATCAGGTGGGACCGTCACAGCTAAATTTACTGTATCAGTAAATTTTGGTGGATAGAAATCTAGCTGTGACGGTCCCACCTGATGACGGAGACGTGTGTTGCCTCCGAAACGTCGTGATTTATTATTTTATTTATATTACTTTTATTAATTTTCATTTTATTTTTTACCTACGTGACTTTACCGAAAAAACCTAAGAGTACGAGTCCTTGCAGTCACGAAAGCTTCAAATCTAGCTTCACAGCTCATCGGATTCCTGCGGTCTAAACACGTATTTCCGATTTGCAGGAGCGACGACGGTGCAACACCTGATGTCCACCTTGATCGAGCAGCACGTCGTGCTCTTCGCGCGCGGCCCGGAGGCGCCCAAGTCGTCTCTGAGCAGAACAAATGGGACCGGCTTCCGGCGGAGGGAGAGCGGAGTGTCGTGGGACGAGTCGAGCGCCCCTGCCCAGACCGACGGGGGCGCTTTGTCATCGCCCCTGAGCCTGTGCGCGGAGCAGCCGGGTTGCTACGAAAAGAACGGACTGGGCTTCCAAAGCGGGTCCTTGTCACAGGACGTATTGCAGAGCTTGGCTCAGGGCGGCATAGCCTCCGAGCTGTTCAGGGACAAACCGTTCAAGGCCAGGAAGTACTCGTCGATGAGGATTTCGGTGGGGAAGCAGATGAGGCCGTCGCAAAACGCGGCCATCGCCAACGGCGACGAGGGAGCGAACGAGCAGGGCCGCGACGACAGGACGCCGAGCGGGTGGGCCGGCTCGGCCGACGACCCCAGAGACGAATCTCACTCCCCCGTCCAGCGGAGACCAAACAGGGACAGTCCCGGCGCAGGCATGGCCGCCAACCGCCAGTCGACCTATGACAACGTGGCACCTCCAGGCAACGCGGACGGATCGCCGGGCGCGTGCGAGGGGGCCATGTGGTGCAGCTCCGTCTCAAAGCCCCCACGCACGCGCAACCACGCGTCGTCCTGTGGCGACGAGCCGCCCGGCACGAGTGACGACGCCGCCGCCGCCAGGTTTTGGCTGGACGACGCGAGGGGTCAAAGCGCGGCAGCGCAGAGGGACCGGCTCAAGTCCAGCGGCAGCGACTGGGATCCGATGCTCTCGCCGACGGACTCGGCCAGTTCGATCAACACGCAAATGCTGAGCAACTTGATGGCGAAGATGCAGATAGAGTTGTCCAAGCAGAAGCTCGATTACGAGGGCAAGATACGGAGGTGAGTGTGGTTACGCGAGGGCGTCTAAATGCTCTCCCGTCTGCCTTGCGGCTCCTTGTGAGATTACGAAAGCGGCATTGTTAAACGCGCGCTGCAGGCTGAGGTTTCATCGTCTTTGCTCTTGGTGTGTTGGACTGTCTTCCGAATCGTGCTGCAGTTCTCAAAGCGGCCGCGATAACGATTGCACGCATCTAAAAGGAATCCATTGGAATGCGATGGCAAAATCTAAACGTTCATGATTGACCTCATTTAAATACCTCCAAGTTATTTATATTTCCATTTAGTCTATTGGTGCTTTTTGTTGTTGGTGTCATTGATCTATGTACTGTACACATCCGTCGTCATATACATCACCCTCCCAAAACAGTACAGCGTTTGCACGTGCCACTAAGATGATAAGCTTTGGGAAAACTGTGCAAGGCATGGTTGGTGGATTCATGCGAATGGTGCCTGAACGAGAAGAGCAATTTCAGGGAAATGTGGTGTTTGAGGCAGTACAACAATTAGATTTCTGCCATCTGTGCAGCGCTCGAGTGCCTTACTCCCATTGAGTGTGGGTTTTTTTTCTTACGTACCTCTGGCTTCCTCCCACACTCAATTCAAAAGGGGAATGACCAAATGCTCATGAACCTTAAAACTTTCCTGGGTAATCTATTAATATACTAAAGATAATAATGCCCCTTATTTACTTAGGAAAGTCACACCAAGTCTCAATAATAATTTTAAGGAGGGTCCACAGCTACTTCGGATATTTGGCTCATTCTGTTCGTGACTGTGCCACGTGGGTGGAAACCGGAGCACCCAGAGATACCCACACACGAGGTGCTGCTAACAACTCAAAGCAATGCACAGTTAGATCCAAGAATCCACAGCCTTGATAGCCTCCCCGACACTTGGAATTGCCACGAAGTACTCCCATACAAAACGTTGAGCAGGCTCAAGCCTGCTCCGCTTCCAAGCTTTTATAACGAGATCTGACGCATGCATGGCGATCTGCTCGTGCACTTAAGATACATTCAGGGCAGCGGGCGGGCAGGCAGGCAGGCAGGCAACACTTTTGTCGGAACGAATAAAACCGGGAGCTGGCTTTAATTGAGGAGGAACGTTCCATTTAATCTTTTTCTGCAACCTCCACGCCTCCCACAACCAGCCTGGAGACGTGCAAGCAGGAGCTGCAGGGCCGGGTGACGGCGCTGAGCGACGAGCTGGAGCAGGAGAGGAAGAAGACGACCATGCTGGAGATCCGCATGAGGAACGCCGAGAGGGCCCAGGCGGACGCAGAGCAGCGCAACGCGGCGCTGCAGCGCGAGATGGAGGGCTTCTTCACCACGTTTGGAAGCTTGCAGCCGCAGCAATGACCCCCCCGCCCCGCCACGGGAGTTGCGTCTTGCGCGTGGTTGTTTTATCGCGATAACAGAAAAAGTTTTGCTCGTTGCACCTTTCCCACCCCCCCCCCCCTACACGTTGTCGTTTTATTGTTGTTGATCCCTGTAAATGCTGATAACCTAACTGGAACGTGCGAAGTATTTCATGTGATGAGTTTATTTTTAAAGGTTTGTGCCCTCCATTGGAGGGCGGTATTGCGGTTGTAGCGACGATCAGGGCGTCGCAAGTCAGATTTCTTCTGTTCACGTATTTATTAGGCATGTAATGACTCACCTACCCTCATGATTCGATTCAAGAATCGATGTTATATTGTTGTGAATGTAGTGCCGAGACCCAATTGCATACAACAAATTGAATATTGACTCTTAGGACGCCACGATTCAATGCATGTACCAAAACCATAATTGTAATCGGTGAATCTATGCATCGTTACATGCCTAGTATTTACAGGTATGCATGCAGACACATACATATATCATAAACACGTCTGTGCTTGCATACAAATTGCACGGGACCAGCCCAGCGTAGCTCGATAGAGCAACAGGCTCCGGATCAGAAGATACCCAACTTCAAATTCCAGTCAAGAGATGACCCAGCAGATCATTCCTCCCAGGGTCCAGGAAAAAGGGCAGTGCCTGATTAATTGTATTCAGCGACAAAACAACATTGTTTTATGAATGAACTGGCCCCTGACACAGGATAGTGTAATTTCCACCGCCGATCCAGTAAATATATTTCCATAAGCTCCTCTAGGAATATGGGAAACTAACTTTTAAAAAGTAAATGTATACGGCGTCTATATAAACCAGTGACCCCTTGATTTAATATAAGAAACTACCAAATCTAGGATGTGGGACCCCTATATGTTTTATAACGAGGTCAAATACGTTTAATTATGTATTGTATTTTACTAGTATGTATATGAAATACAAACTATTGATATATCGAACTAGGAGTGTCTGACCAGAGTGATAGTGATTCTAATTTCAGTCTCCCCAGAATACAGATAAAGGTGCGAGGCTAACAACAGTATTTGTCACAGCAATTTACTTGTCTTTTATTTGACAGAGACCTAATACAATGAATAATCAAATGAGGAAAAGTAGAGTACAGTACGTAGTTTTTTTCTCTCCTAACTTTTGTTGTAAATTAATCATTAAGGCCGGAACTCCCAGAGGTGGTTAAGGAATTATGTAAGCTGTGCAGAGCAGACCCACAAAAAGCTTTGCAAGCGAGTGTATTTAAATTTCGATTTAAAGCTTTCGTGACTGCAGGGATTCATCTTCTTGGTTCTTTCGGTAAAGTCACGTAGAAGGGAAGTAATAAAATAATACAAATAAAACATAATAAAATTCTCACGACCTTTCGGCTACAACGCAAGCAGCCGTCTTCAGGTGAAGACTGCTGCTCGCGTTGTAGCCGAAACGTCGTGAGAATTATTTTATTGTTTTATTTTTTTATTTTATTACTTCCCTTCTACGTGACTTCAGGTGAAGACGGCTGCTTGCGTTGTAGCCGAAACGTCGTGAGAATTGTTTTATTATGTTTTATTTTTATTATTTTATTACTTCCCTTCTACGTGACTTTACCGAAAGAACCAAGAAGATGAAGCGAGTGTATGTTTACCTCTACAATATGACGATTCTGCTCAAACTCATAAATCGTAAACTTCCTCGAGACCAAAACCGCGTCCACAATGAGATCACGAGTCCTCGTGGGGCATTGAACGATCTTATTTGGTGACCACCCGAGTCGCCGAGCCCGGAGAGAAGAAACTATCTCCGTCTGCATAGATTGACGCGACGATAATGTGTGCAAAGTCAAGATGCATATTACCGTGGGGCCTTACGGACATTAAGGGTTCCATTTTACTTAAGAATGTACGTCTCGTGGTGTAACCTTTTCATGCGCTGAACAATATTTAGTTCCGAGTCACGTACATCTTGAAGCCTTGAAGCCTAAAATTAAATTTCCAGGTACGTTGGTGTTGAAAAGGAATTTGATTACAGAGTGCACAATCTCGTCCGATGGTAGCGGGCGACTTCATGCAGGTCCGACACCGCACCCTCAGAGCTTGGTGATAAAAACAATGCATTGTAATTTATAAGCTTTAAAAATCAACTTGCGTTGCCTTTCGTATTTATCGCTCCATTGCACATGGTATGTGTCTACGCCTTCAGTTCAAAGGCCGCTGCAATGCGATACTGTAATAAAAGTGCTTTAAGATTTTAGCTGCGTTGTACGCAACACAATATTTTCGTTTATTTCCAACTAATGTACTTATGATTGTGTCTGTGCTTGTAAATTAAATTTGTTACAAACGTACGGTTAATTTCCCACGAGTGGGAAGTCGATCACACGTTGTTTAAGTTTCAGTGTTCGTCAGGGGTTATTTCGTATGCAAGTCGTAAATACATACCTGTCAACCCATACGGTTCACCCCTATTCCTGTACAGGGAAATTGAGTTCATGTCCATACGGCGTACAGCCATTTAGATACTGGGAAAAATAACTTTTTTTTGTCTGTTTGTTTTTCCCTTGTGACGGGACTTTGTCGGATGAATCTTGAGATTTTAGGAGCACGGGGTGACCAATAAGGTCTGAATTGGTCTATAATAAGGGGTTGACAGGTATGTAAATATCGCAAATTTTGGCAATGCGTCAATGGGAACGTGTACGGACAAGGGTGTGGGTTGTGTCTCTAAGTTAACAACGGTGGCTGGATTCTGTGCGATAACGAAGTGTGTCCTGCTTGCATCTAAACGTTTAGCCACAAGGTATCGCTTTTGTCGGCAAACCGTTCACTTAACTGCATAAATCGTCAAATATTCACACTGCCATGTTATCCATTAACAGTATTTCCTTTACCAAAATGTATTTATCATGAATGCAGATGACTGTGTAGCATTCGGTACGACTGTTACTTTTATATCGTTCCAAGCAGGCTGTAATAAATTTAATTGAAGCAAATAAACATGCAAGGTTATAAAGCATTGTTTTTTTTAGTAGTTTTTTTATTTAGCATTCTCTTGTCTGAGACAGCACTGAGTTGTACAGTACATTTACTATCAGTTAATGCATGATTAGTTACAAACTTCTATTTTGTGTTACATCACAGCCAAATATAGCAGCAGAAGTTAGTATATGGGGGCTGGATTACAGATCATGATCTAAAAAAATGGGTTTGGAAGCCACAGCCGTGTGGAGTAGTGGATTCTTAAATGTGAAATCATTATTTTGGTACAGGCAAGCTTTTTTTAAGGTGATAATGCAAAGTGCTTTGCTACACGATGGTAGATTAAATTAGTTGTGAGGATATTAAAACTCCATTTTTGTAGATTCTCATCCAGCCACATATATTCTCCTATTTGCTATTTCCAAAAACACAGAGCGAAGCGCCAAATGATATCGGTGCATGTGAATTATACCAAGATAAACCCTTTGCCAGAATGAAGACAACTTGAAAAAAAATGTAATGCGACTGTCAAACAAAGCAGCAGCAACGAACCAACGTTTGTCAAGACAATGTCTAAGCAATACACGGCAAATGATAACCCAACAGACAATAAATAATGTTTAAAAAATATACAAAACAGAGTAAAATGGAAGCACAATATTTACTGCTACCAATGAATGACGTGAAAAAGGTAGTGTGCACTGAAGTACATTTTATGTAAAGGCTTTTACAGGAATAGATTTATAGTGCCTCATTTGCAATAAAGGCAAGAAAAAAGCCCGATTTTGTTAGAAGAAATAAAAATGCAAGTTATCACCCTAAATGCGAGTTATTCACCCGAAATGCGCCCAATTTCATCAGACCATGGAAAGCTAAGCAGGTAAACACCTGCTTATCACGAGGATGGTTGGCCGCCATGGCTTGCTCGTTGTGTCCCGGAGATGTTAATGCCCGAGTGGCATCCGTCTCATGGGCGGTGGGTTTAGCCAAACGCCAATTAATGGAACTGCCCAAAAAAATCTCAATGCAGGGAAACGTTCGGCAAAGAGTCTTGAGGCTCAGCGAGTCCTTCCCAGGTAAATATTAGATGGCATGAATAAGATGCGTTTCTGTGGGTTTTCATTATGGGATTGGACCAAACATCTGCAATGAGAAAGATGGGCTACGAGTTAAATAGTACAGTACCCCATGGTCCTGGGCCATTGCTCATTGAAATTTTAACTCTCAAAAACTATTTGTAAAAAAAAAAATTTACTGCCGTGGCAAAATCGGTGACTTCCACTCTGTCAAGGTGTCTTGGAATAATAACACCCTCAATGTTTATAGAGTTAACTGGTATACATTTGTCTGAACAGAAAATTCCAAAAACCCAGTTTGTGTCTTACAGAGCATGTATGTCAATGGATTGTGTTTTATATGGCCAAGGCCCATGAGAATGTAAAGTGTTCTGTCTGAACACAACTGACCTGTTGTGTCACTACAGTTTAAGAATATGTCGTCGCTAATTATTCTATTATTCTTGTAATAGGGCGTTCATGCAGCTTATTTCGCGCTATTTTGCTCGTAATCAAAACGCAACACTCAAAGCATACTCTGCAAAGTCGCACGGCGAAATAATTGTTAAGCATCGCAATGTTACATTGGACAATTTACATGCAGTAAATCATTGGCATATGTGTTGCATTTAACGCCGTTTTCAATATTGGAAGTATAACATGTATTTAAAAAATGTTTTATTCCCCATCCCTCTGCAAACTACGGTTGTACCAAAATGTAGATTTAAATTATACATTTTTAAACCAGACAAGTGGATTACATGTCTGCTACACGTGGCCACAAACATTTTTGATTGTTGGCCACAGTTAAATGGGCGGTAAAATATAAACCGATGTATTTAATGAGGCCACAATACACGATCAACTATATTCCTAGGCAGAATCCAAATTTGATTTACAACGTATTATACAGGCGAATATATAAAACAAAAAATTGAAAGGTAAAAAAAAGAAAGTTCGTTCTGGTTTAACGACGCAAGCGAATCCTGCGCATATCTACTTGGGCAGCTGCGGGTTTTTTGTCGTGGCGCAACGGTGTCTTGCAAAGTGGCCGGCCGTGACAGGACGGAACGCGGGGGGGGGACACGCGCCGCGAGAGCAGCGAAGGTGTGCACAGGTGCGGCGGTTTCAAACCGAGACATGCCGACCTGCTCACAACGGGCCGGCGAGTCACGGCAACACAGTATGCAACATCTTCCCACTGCCCCTCTCACTTCCCATTGGTAATGGAACACCTACAACACAAGCAGAGGAGAGCGAGGTGAAAAACGGTGCGGCACGCCGGGCGGTTAGTCGTCGACGACGCGGCTCGGTTGCAAAAGCCGCCGCCAATCCGCATGCACTGCCGCGGCTCAAGCGCCAGCACAATGAACGCGTTTGTTTGCGGTGCACAAGACAAGTGGGCCACTGTCAATAGAAACGTTGTGGCAGAAATTGAAGAGTACGGTAATGGTGTTTTTTTTTCCTCATTTGGGAAGTTAAAATATTAATTCGTAGGCTAAATACAATATTTACTTGATGACGACATTCGTTCCGTAAAAAAAACGCCATTTTATTTCGCCGAGTTACAGATGTTGTTTGCTTTGTATAGTGTATTATATTTTAGATTATATATATTTTTTTAAACCAAATTACTCAAATCGTTTTCTGAATTCAAATGGTGCCAACACAGGTTTCTATTGAGCCAGGTGCTGATGTGGGAGTGATTAATAAACGCAGTATAAAGGGGTTATTTTAAAGGCAATAAATGAATACAAGCTTTGTAAACTATAACAAAGTACTTCAACGTAACATTTAAAGACAATGGCTTTTAAAAAAGAAAACATGATTTAATGTTTTTTGATTAAGCTTTAGTTTATTACATGACAACAGTAGTAACAATATAATTTAAACATGCATGAGCATTCTGGGTGCTATTTTATAGGCTGTTGTATACTGTGAGCCATAATGTGGTATCAATGTGTTAGTTTTTTTTACATTTGAAGTATATAACCCTAATGCAGTTTACATCTTAAAATAAAATCACTCGATAGTCAGCTCTGCTGAAAGTAATTACTTTTTTAATCTATTAATATTCACCTTAAAGTATTCTCAAATCTCAAAATATAATTGGTCTCTTTCGTACGCCATTCCGATATCCCGAAGTATTTTCACCTACCAAGCCTTGTTTCCACTTAACCAAACTCCCCACGCTTTGCCGATTCACTTTCGCCTCAACCATCTTCGCACATGCCAAATCCATCCACCCACCGACAAACCCGTCCCCCCACATTCAACTAACACTTGAACGCCATCGTCAAATGCACTTTTCGTC